CCGGAGCTGCTGCTTTGTCCATTCCCATCAAGCTGGGTGGTGGGACAACATCAGAGTCTATGGTGGCAAGACCAGTGCCTGCAACTCCTGAGAAGGCACCAAACCTGCTTGCCAATTCCTCCTGGACTAAGAACATAGCTCAGCCCTTCCACAATCATGTTCTTGGCCATGTGCATGGAAAACCTGCTCTTCCCCCACCCCCCATGCCTCATGTGCATGCAAGAGAGACTAATAGGCACACTGCTGCCCCTTGCTCCTCCTCCAGTGTCCTGTGCCCCCCCCCAGCCTGTTAAAGCCATTAATAAGGAATGTGCCTTGTGTCTGGAGGTCCAAGCATCGATGCCATCAGGATCCAGCTCCTGCTCACCTCCTCCACTGAAGGAGAGCATTCCCCAATCTTTTGTGGACAGTGGTGGGGAAAGAAGCATTCTGCCCATCTCTGAGGACATCCAACAGCCACCCCGTGGTATGGAGATGGTGGCTGCGCAGTTATCTCTCTCAAGTGTGGCAGCTGCAGTGTTGCCACCAAAGCGGACTATCTCATTGAAGCAGTGGTCAGCCAAGCAAAAGGCCAGAAGGCAAGCAAACCATCTGGAGAAAGAGCAAGAGCTTGAGGATTGTGATATTCTCCCCCACAAGTAATGTAACCAGCTGATATATATGTATCATTCTCTGCATTGCCCTGTGGACTGATATGTATGATATGTAATACTACCCTGTCCCTCAAAACATCCCTGCCCCACTTCCCCCACCCCTCACCCCAAATCCTACCTGCTTCCCCATGCAATTGAGCTCAAAGGCCTTACTCTGTTTCTGCCAAAGGTGGCTTGCAATCTATGATACACCAGTGACCTCAGTTATCCTGTTTGTGACCCACCACAGCTTTGATGGCTGAGATGTCAAGCACTTGCATCACTGTCAACCTTGTGAACACCAGAGCTGTGCCATATGGTGGGGCTTCAGTATCTGCCTTGCAGAACTTTATGAATGCAAGCTCAGGAAGGACACTTTGAATCAGCAAATCAATCAGATGCTGAAGTTGGCTGTACAGGATGAACAGTGATGGATGCTTGGGTGATTTGTACTCAAACTAGACAGGTCAGTCATATGTCATTCTATTCTACAAAATGGTACTCACCCATATGTAGGTCATGTCTCTGCTATGGCATGTGCGCAGTCCCTGAGCAGCATGCACAGTATCTCCCTTGCAAGAGAGTTGCAACTTGCCCCATTGTGTGACATGTTTTGGAAGTGCATCCTTTGCCTCTGTTTTTCTGACATGAAGCACAGCAGAGAGGTATGTGACCAGCTTCTCTTCCAGGGCCTTGCTGAGTTCCAGCTCAGAATTTGGTGCCATTGTATGATGCAATTCATCTACCTCCCTCCTAGGATCACATTTGATTCCATGCAGCTTGTACTTCAGCTTCAGTATGTCCCACTGGCAGAGTTGGAGGATGTGCTGGTCGATTCCAGGGTAAGGATTCAAATGTCCTGTCACTGCATGTTGTAGCTGACTGCAAAATCACTCCATAGGAAATGCCCATGTTGTCCAAAGTGGACCAGTCCATTCCACACAATCTGCTAAGTGCAGCAGTGAATGAACTGTGATCAGGCACAAGCTGACACAATCTGTACTGCCCTGGTAGTACAGTCACTTGTATTGAAGAACCCACTCAGCCAAACGCTTGTGGAGCATGGTTGTGAAGCCAGCATGATAGAAAAAACCAAGGCAGTCATTGACAAAACAAGACAATTCAACCAAGTGGTGGTAATATGCTTCATTGGTGAACCACTGCAAGAGGACAACAGGTGCCAATTGGGTAATCCATAGCATATACGCTTCTGCTGTGAACTCATGCCATTTGTTCAGGAGATGTGGGACACATTGGCCAAAGGCACCAGGAATAGTGTTCCCACTTTTGGCAACTTGCTTGGCAATGTCAGTCCAAAATACATGCAGTAAGGTGAATGCATCCCCCTCAACACAGTGTTTGCTCACACCAAAGCCAAAGAACAAGGAGGAGGGGTACAATTTTCTCAAAAACAAGGTGCATGAAGTTGAGAGGGAATGAGATTGGCCAGATGATGCTCCTGAAGTGTCACCAGATGCTGATTCCATGGATTCCAGATGCTTTTGCATGATGCTCTGCTTCAGCATGGCTCTCAGCCTGCATGACTGATTTGGCCTCATGGAGAATTGAGTCATGCAAGCAAAGAGGGAGATTCAGTGGATCATACTGGGCTGGAGATGTAGATGAAGAGGAACAAAAGGATTGTTGGTTGAGAGGTACACCTTTGTGCCCATTTGCATGGACTAAACTGATATTGCAAAATCTGCATGGCTGGTTTCCAGCATGTCCCTTCATATGCATCAGCTTGGCAACTGCTGGCATATCCCTGAAGAGCATGATCAGGTGTGCTCACAAGGTAAAGAACTCATGCTTTGAGGCATCATAGGTCCTCACACCTTTGGCCAGGAGAACAAGCTCTTCTGCCAAGGGGAAGTAGAACAAATCGAGATCTTTGACCATCTTGGGTCCTGGGATGCAACCAATTCCAAGCAAGTTCTTTATGTGTGTTCTGTCTTGCAGTGGCAGGTTGTAGTTGATCAGGATTGTTGGCCACACAGTTGTTCTTGGGCCTTTGAAAGGGGCAAAACCATCAGTTGACAAACCTAAGGCTATGTCTTGTGGTGCATCAAAATATTTCATCTTCAAGGTCTTCCTGTTGACAAAAATATAGTGCTTGCACAGTTCATGATATGTCCTTCCCTGGAAGATATCCATCATCTCAAGTGAGTGGGGATTTTGCCAGGCTCAATATGAAGAAAGGGTAGTTGCTCTTTCCACATTAGCATATTGAGCTTGAAGCTGAGGAATGATTGGTAGATAATGATGTTGGGATAGGTGAAGTTGAGGGTGTTGTACTGCACATTTGTGCAGTGTCCATTCATCTTTGTGTAGAATGTGGTGAGTATCTTCTCATCCTCTGCCAACAGGTTATCTGGATTGTGTGAGCAGCACCCAAGCTGTTCAGAACAGATTACATACCAGCTATCATTCTTGACTTGAGATCAATCTCCTCATCCAACTCCTCAATGCCAGAGGTCTCCCCCTCCCCCTCCCCCTCACTGTCATGCATCTGCCATTCTTGCTCCCAATCCTCCTCCTCCTCTTCCTTCTCCTCCTCCTCCTCCTCCTCCTGGTGCTGCTGCTGCAGCTCTGGCTCCAGCTCCTCCTGCCCCAATCTGGGTTCTTCTGCTGGCAGAGACATCTGGGACTCAACCCCTTCTCTTTCACTGCCAAAAAGCTCATTCCACAGATCCTTTGGATCCTTCACAGGTGGTATTTCACACCCCAGTTGAGTCATCTCTTCCTTCAATTGTTCCTGCTGGGTGATGATGACCTTCTTTAGGGCTAGTGCTTCGGCCAACTGACAATGCTGCCATCTCTGGGTGTGGGACAACATTTTGCCACAGTGAGAGCAAGGACCTTTTTGATGTTTCTGATGGACCTCTGCCTTTGCCTTTACCATGGTGAGAGGTAAACAAAATGCCAGGCCCCACTCTCTGGGACCGAAAAAAGTTGGTGATCCATCAATTCAGAATTTCCATATTGGGTTTATTTTTGCCCTTGTTTGTGGTAACCATCTCTTGGTGTGTAACATGATCTGGGTTGCAACTGATTTTGCTATCACAGCTTTCTGCTTGAGGGGTATATAATGGGACTGACTCCCTCTCATCCCTTTCTCCACATCCTATGCCCAGGATTTCGGACCCCCTTCCCTCAGCATCTTCCTCAAACAGGCCCCCTCACCTGAGAGCTCTGACAGCCCTCCCAGCGACTCCCTCTTCCTGAACTTCTTCAACAGCTGCTTTCCACCACCATGCTCCCACCCCCTCCACACCTCTCCAAGGATGGCTGGTAAGCATTGTATGTGCAAGTGCAACAAGTCTGATGCCATGATTATGAATGTTCTGCTCCCAACAAACACTTCATCAAAGAAGAAAGTCAGCGCCAAGGGGAAAGGGAACAAGGAGAACCCACCCACCCCATTTTGTGATGCCACCTCTGTTGCGCTTGCCCTCTCCACTGAAGATGACCTCAATGAAGACACCATTGAAACCCTAGTAGAGCCCAAGAAGCATGCCCTGTTGGTATCTGATATCAAAGAAGACAAGCCCCTGCCCAAGTGCACCAAGAAGCAGCCTCTCAAGCAGCTCAACAATGGCCTTGACATGCAGAAGTTCCTCTCCAAGAAGAAGTCAAAGAAGGAGGAACTTATTGAGGTGAATGCAAGGATTGTGGAGCTTGGGGCAATCATTATGTCTATGAAAGGTATGTCTTGAACACTGCACACATACATACATATCTGATGTTATTGAAGCAGATAAGGAGAAACTTTGAAAGGCACTCATAGCCAAGCTGGCAAAGCACAAGGCACCTCCACCTCCAAAGGTCATTGCTAAGCCCTCAGGGCAACCTGGTCATAAGGGGCCAGGTGGATATTGCCTGCAGGAAGAGATGGGGCTCTCTGGGAATGAGAGTGAGTACAATTCTATTTGGGTAAGCCACTCTTACCTGCTATTATAGCTACCTCCTAATCCAAGCTCTTCTACAGCAACAAGTCCAACAGATCAGCAACAAGTCCAATGTCTGTGGAGACAAAACCATCACCAAACTCCACCCAGAGGTCATGGTGAAGATATACAAGGAAGTGAGTACCATCCTCCATGCTAAATGACAACATGTATTTACCTTGAAGTAGGCTCAACACAAGATTCTGTACCTGGCACAGTTTGAGAATGATTGGGCCACCAGGGCCATTGTCAAGTCATACATGAGGAATGCCAAGCAATTCTTGGTCTCAAAAAAAGGTTACAATGAACATCACCTGTCTGGGTCAGGAACCCCAGGCCCAGCTGTAGCCCCTTGGCCTTTGGTGAGAAACATTCTATCCCATAAAGCAATGGAGCAAGCTGCAGTACAGCCCAAGGATGACAATGATGTCAACAGTGACAAGGAGCTTGCGGATCTTTTGGCTGAAAGTGGATCTGACAATGAGGATTCCAATTAAGTAAATACCCAATTGTAGATTTGCATTGTTTACATATTAATATGATTTCCAGTCTCTTGTAAGATATTTTGAGCCTGCTTGGCCTGGCTTTTGTTGTCATGGGGACTAGATACCACTGCTTTATCCATGCTTCAAGCACCACATTCCAGCTCTTGTATGATTTTCAGCAAAGAATGACATTTGATTGCTTTTGGTAAGGAATTACATGCAGGTACTGTGACAGTTTGGTTTGGGGCTTGTAAATAAGTTAATAAAATAGATACAGTTTTCAGCTCCACACAAGGTAATTCACTGCCCTAGGTCATGATTGGCATGACCCAGGGGACTCCTGAAGGGACTTAACTTCAGTGCCAATGCACAGTGCAGTGCTTCCCTCCCCATCAAAAAATGATTCCATTGCATGTTCAATCACAGGGAAGCCAAAAGTGCTTAATTTCATTCCCCACAAACCACACCTGGGAGCCTGATTAATAGAAGGAGGCAGGCTTTATGAGGCATGATAGAGAGCCCCAGAAATTATTAATTGAGAGTACTCTAAAGAAGAGGATTATCATCAATTCAGTGCTTTAGATTTGTTGATATTTTTATTAATCCATTTCAATACAATAATACTAGAATGCTCTCATTGGCATCATCATCATCATGCTCATTGTTGCCTGAACTGAAGGACCATGTTCCTGGTCCTGGTGCTGTGTCAGCAAGTCTTTCTGAATGAAATGCATCACATACAAGCACATATATCTTGCTTGCCAGATGCCAGAGCATGCTCAGGTGCCAGAGGGGGGATATTGGTGTGGGGGGGGAGGGGGAGGGGTGCAGATGGAGTGGTGGGAGGTGGTGGGAGTGATGGTGGGAGTGGGAGAAGGAGGATCCAGACATGGTGAGGGAGTGAGATGGACTTAGACAAGTTTGGCATGATGCACCATTATGGGACCCTTGGTGGCAGTGGAGAAGGGCATGGATTCAGATGTGCTTAATTTCATCCCATAAACAGAATCCACACTTAAAGTGCTGAATTCTTACTTTCAAGTACTTTCTGCTCTGAAACCAGGACCCCTTTCCATGTCCAGTGAATATGATTGTCTATACCTACTGAAAGCAATGATTGTAGAAAATGTCAGGAACAGGCTGCAATCTATCCACTAAGCTAAAACCACCCACAATATCATGGCTAGTGATATTGGTTGCAGCCAGCTATATATCCTGTTCAGGGGGCATACCCTGACAGGTTCTTGAGCTTGACATATTCAGAGTCAATGAACATGCCAGTGGCACCTGAATCCAGGAGTGCATGAGTAGTGAAGAACTGTCCTGAGTCTAATACTCTTAGACCAAGGGGTAGCTCTGTGGAGCACAATGGGGATATAGAGTGGACATAAATCCTGGGAGGTGGAGGTGCTTCAGCAGTATAGTTGGACACAGGCTCAGTCTTAGATTGAGGCATAATGGAATCATCATTGGCAAACATATCAGAGGATATGCCTATCCTAGACTTCTCCAAGACAAGAAATGATTGGTCAATCAGAGTGTGTCCTTATTGGTTGACCTCTTTAAAAATCCTGTGTGTTGGTCTTGCCCTGCTCAGTACCAGAAGTGGGAAGGGCTTGAAGAGAGAGGATCTTGTTGAGTTCCTCATGGAAGATGGCCCTTATACCCTCTGGAGTGAGTGTAGTCAGTGATGGGTTGTGCTTGATAGTTTCTGTGGCACAGATGCAAGTCTTCCTTGGGTTGGGGCAATCAGGACTGATATGCCCTTCTGTCAGGGATCACCTTATTCCAAAGTATCATGGCCAGCTCAAATCATCTCATGCAATATTGATGGCTGAGTCAAAACCCTCAAAGTCCCTAGGACTCTGTCCTAAGGTAATCCCTTCTGTACAGTTCCAAGCCACATTCTGGGATTGCTTCCATTGTGATCATAGATAGTCTTGTCTCCTTTTGTCATTTTGTCCTTAGATCTGATCTCTTAGGATCCTCCACAATACTTGTGTAGTCAAACTAGGCATCAGAATCTCATCAAACTTATCTACTTGAGCAAACTGGATGATACTGTCAGCTTGTGCTCTTGATATCCTAGTGCTCCTCTCAATACTTCTCTCAACCTCTGTTGACATCACTGTTACTTGACGATATCTGCCAGCCTGGTCTTGCAATATCTCAGCCTGGTGCTCTTGCTCTCTTGACCCTTTACACACCCTCTATTGACCCTTTCCAGTTGTATTGACAGCAGCCTTGTGTCTGGTATTGTGTGCCCTGACACCTTCTGTACCACAATTGTGGCAGATAATCTTGCATCCAGAGCAACAATGAGAATCAATATCCATGGGGTCACCAGGATGCAAGACTGGGGCAGCAGGTGGTGGTGTAGTGGGGAGATGGGCATATGCATATGTTGCAGAGGAGTGAGTAAAGCTTCTGGCTGAGTTGGCATAAGTACAATGTGCTCCCAGCTTGCTCAGCTGATGATCAAAGTGAGTTGCATATTCATACCACTTGATGAGTGTTGCAGGCATCTCAAGTAGTGATGTCAGGGTTCAACCTCTGTGAACTCCTATGCAAACTCTGATTCAGCCCAAATGTCACCATTTTGACACATTTGACCCCTCAGTCAAGGCTATCAGATATGAGAAGCCCCCTCTGACAGGCCTCTCTCCCCATCTGGGATGGATGGCAAGGCTATTGGTGATTGTTCACCTTTTGCAAGGACTGAACACTCAAGTCACACATTTGCTCAAGACTGTCAGTTATGTCAACTAGAGTTTTGACCCCTTTGTCAGTTGCTAGGACACCCAAAGGACTTTGGGGCCTAAGGCATAGGGGGTCAGAGTTTGGACGCCCTTCAGGCCAGCCTATTGATCATGTTTGACTATTTGTAGGCCTTGGTCATGGACCCCAGCAAAGCCTTTGACAGATCAAAGACAAGTAGCCACCCTTCAGCAATTTTGGCTACCTACTCAAGGTGCCTACAACTCAAGTATAGGTGATTGGGATCACATTGGATCTTGAAGCATGTTTTGGCCAGGCTTCAGCTGACAATCGAGAAGTAGGGGTGAACCCTAGTGTGGAGATTGGGAGACTTCGCCCATGATGAGGAGACCTTTGGTCACAAGGTCTGCCCTGAGGTAAGATGGACAAGTACAGTTTCTCAACCACAGTCTATTGCTTCCTTTCCTCTGGCATGTATATGTAGGCACCAGTCAGAGGGCACAGAAGCCTCAGATTTGGTCTCTCAGGAATCCCACCATTTAGTATGACCCAAAACACCAATCTCCCTTGAAGGAGGTGAACTGTCCACAATCATGTTGATTGACCTCAGGTAGTAAGACCAAGGTACTTGATACCCTGGTGACACACCCCAACTCTTCGTTTACCCTCCAAAGGCTGGTGCTCCAGCTGAGACTGTCAACTTCCGGATGACTGGTGCCAATGTATCCAAAGTCTCTGCTGACAGGCCACTCTCCTAGAGCTGAGAGGTCTGACCTGTGCTCAATCTCTCTGAAGGCTCATGAGGCGAGCCCAACACCCCTTCTTTCAGCAAGGTTCTCATCTACGAGCAACTGAACCCCCAACTACACCCTGATAGCTCACCCTGATTGCCTGATGTCCATACCAATTCTGCTGGCATTGCACTATGCTGCCTAAGTCTAGGTGACAGGCAACACTGGACTTCTCCCCATCCAACATCCCCTTGATTCTGCCTGATCAACAAAGGGTTACCATCAAGATCCCATCCCCTCCCACCAATACACATGCAATACCTCCACCAACTTCCAAAGGCATGGCTTTGTCCTGCCTGAGTCTGATGTTGACACAATCAGTCATCTACAACTCCAATACCTTGTGGTTCAACCTGAATACTGGTTGACTGCAACACCCCCCCCCTACTACCATTTCTGATTCTCCTGTACTGACTTGTGCAACATGCCGAGCATGGTCAGTTGTTGATGTATTGGGATTATTGACCCTCTTCCCATACCACCCTCACTACTCCATGTGGCTGACATGGCCAATACCACAAGAGATCCTGAAGCAGGCATGTGAGGACCACCAAGAGGTCTGATGTCAGGCTTTCAGATGATTAGTGGTTGTTCAGCAGTCAGGTCACCCTGATAGGTTGCAGCTTTGCCCAAAACCTTGGTGTTCAGTCTCCGCTCGATGGTGTACCCTGACAAGTGAATAGATCTTGTCAAGCAGTTTGGTATGGAGGCCACATTCAATTTTTTTGATATGTGCTGTCTCATTGTAACCAGTACAGGCAGCCAGCTCCTGGAAAGCAGTGATGTATTCATCAACTGGCTTCTGGCCTTGGTTAAGATGGTCCATCTTGAATCATGCTGTTCCCTGGGGATCAAGGTCCATGAATGCAGCCTTGAATGCTTCCTCAAATTTTCCCCAATTCACATATGTGGAAGGCATATTCTTGGAGTGAGCAACAGCATCAATAGAAACCACCCAATCAGCTCAGGTTCCAGTGCTTCCTCCTTTCATGTAGAACAAGGTGAAGGTGATACAGTCCTCATGAGTGCGGAATTCATCTGGACATGCAGTGAAGTAGAGGCTAAGTTGGTGAAGGAAACTTTTGGCCTTTGAATGAGTACTGTCAAAGACATCAGGAGTAGCAATGTTGGGGCCCCTCCTGGGCCTGCTGGACATGAATTGCAGTTGATCAATTCAAAGCTGAAGGGCTGCCAGTTGTTGCTCTGGGGTCAACTGAGGTGGCATGTTGGTTGGCATAGTTGGGTTAACAGTAGGTTGACCAAAAGAGGTTGGTGCTTCAGAAGTCATGGGTACAACTCCTTCAGCAAAGGTCTGAGGCTGTGGCTGAGGCTGATCAGCCATGAGAGTCATTGTGGATGGTGTAGACAGGTAAAGTTAAGCAGGGGATTGCAGTAGAGTTGTTGTTGAGAGATCTGGTCTTCTGTGAGGGCACACCACAATAACAAGGCTACTGCAGGGGCTAGAAGCAACAGATGGGGGGCAAGGAGGGTGTTGTAGGGAGGGAGTAGAGTCGATCTAGAGTGTATTGATTGAGTGCCTAAAGGATTACAGTGGTGGAGAATCCTCAGAGACCAGATCTAAGGAGAAAGAGGCCCTAAAGGCTTTGTATAAATACTCCCATGACATAAGGCTGATGGGCCTTAGTAGGAACAGCTGCCTAGGAGTAAGCATGGGTACAGGCATCATGGAACACCATGGAACAGAGGTAGGAAAAGCCAGAGGTGGTAGGAACCACCATGAAACACCATGGAACCCAGGCAGGGCCACAAAGCTGCACATGGTGGAAATCCACACAGCACCCATGCCACAACCCATGATGTGACCCTGCACAGGCCTCATGGATCACTTTCAGAGGGCCTGGAAGTGAGGAGAAGCAGGGATAGAACATGTGATAAGGGGTACAAGACCCCAAAACAATGCATTCCCTGATACTCTGCCCTCATTGCCATCATCATCCATAAGCTGATTGGACTCCTCATTCTCATCATCCCCTTTGGGCTGTATCTTCTCATCCTGTGCAAAGTGCATTTGTGCATGCTTTCTGTAAGTTCTTTTAGATTTTTTCTGGGGTTTAATCATTCATGCAGGCTGGTCTTCTGATTCAGCCAGTTCAATTTGTCCTGCAAGAGTTATTCTTCTTTGTGCTGCTAGCTTATCAGAATGGCTGCATCCCAATCATAGCTTTCAGGGATGAAACCATCTTGTTGAGCATTATGAGCAGCCTGCTGAGCTTGTGCAATGAGTTCTCTCTGCTCCTCCATGGAATGCTTTGCAGCTTAAGAGCCCATCTGGTGCTGTCTGCTGGATGGGGGAGAGTGGTGTAGATACATGGGAAATGCTGGTAATGGGGATGACTGAGGTACTTGAGTGGATGGAGGCATCATATCCATGGATGATGGCGTGAATTGAGACATGAGAAGAGTTGAAAGGATATGAGTAAGAAGGAAGTTTTTGGGATGTTTGATGTTTCAATTTGCTGAAATGGTACTTGTGATATAGTGGTGAGAGTGAGAGTGAGAGTGAGAGTGAGAGTGAGAGGGAGAGGGGACAGGAATAGGTGCAGTACATGGGGTGCTATATTTGCATCCACAGAGACTGATAAGCATTTGCAGAAGCAAATATTGTGCTTCTCACTTGATGGGATTCAGAGACAAATGTGCACAGCATTTTTCATCTCCATTTTGAGGGCATGTCCCTACCAGTGTCAGACCCTTTTGTGGCCGGAAGGACCCCCCTAATGAGCTATCCGCGAAGGTCCACCTCAGAGCGGGACCCTGTGAGCAAATCCGTCTTTAGTGATGTCCAGGTCGCCCTTTCTCACGAGATCCTCAGCTGCCATCATCTTGCTGAGGAGAAAGAGCTGTAGGATATGATGCATGCAAGGGAGATCCTCCAGGGCGTCTGAGTGTGAAGAGTATAGCAAGTTCGAAGATGCGTGCGGTGGGGATGATATGTCTTGACAGCAGACGACGATGAGTCCAACACCAACAAGTGACAACAACAACCGGGGGTGGATGCTCGCTGGGAGTGAGCAAGAGAGAGAGAGGATGCATTAGTCTTCGCATCCACTTGGGAATGGCTATCTAGGTGCGTGTATTTATACCTTCGATAGCCTGAATGTCTACTCATACCTCTACAGGTTGCACTATTGGGTGGGATAAACCTGTCGCCCAGTGCAATCCCGGACCAGCCCTCCATCCATCCAGCCATGCCAGCCCGCTCAGCCTTTCATCCAGCCCGCTCAGCCATCAATCCAGCCCACAACAACTTGTGTCCAGCCCGCTTGCCATCCAGCCCGGATTGCCATCCAACCATGTCCGGCAACAAAGAGCTAGCAGAGGAGAGCGTAGATGGTTACCTCGGTTGGCATGCTGCTCATGCTCATCGTTGTTGGTGTCGAGCGCGTGGCAGCCAGGGAGGCAGCTGTACTTTTCCCTATGGCACCGCGTGGGATGGTCCCGGTGCGTGGGATGGTTTCGGTGCGTGGGACGGCCCCCGTGGCGCCCCAAACAGTGACAACCGTGGCGGCGTTATATGCGTGACAAGAGCGTCACTCCTTTTATATTTCCACACAGCCTTCTTGAACCTCGCCTCTGCTCTCGCGGCCTCATCTATTGCTCTCTGAACCATGACAGGATTCCTCTGGCGCACAACGGTGAGGGTGCGATGCGCTTTGCGGAACGCCTCTGCGGCACTCTCGAATTCTGCCTTATTTTGTTCGTTCTTCTCATAGGCAGTTTGGAGGTCCTCGGGTGTCCTGTCTGGGTGGTACAGGTATTGGTTTTCAAAGGCAGTGGCAACGCGGTCGGTGCCTATGTCCCAGAGCACTGCTTTGTCCCTCGCCTTCTCCGATAAGGCATGTGCTTCAGCATTTTCGGGGTGGCTTTTAGGGTGGATCTCCGTCAAGACGTCGTGCCGTACTTGGTTCGCCACATTATCAACTTTCTTCTTTGCGTGGATTTTCCAGGCAGCGTCCGCAGCTTTGTCCGCCTCTTCGACAGTGGCACGCCCCCTGCAGCGACCGGTCGAAAGATTAGTTCCATGGATAATGCACATGGAAAGACTTCTTACTTACCACAGATAACCTTCCTCGGTGAGTGATACATCCATGTATGTTGCGAGAGTGAGGCCAATGACCGAGGTCGCAAAGAGGGTAATAAGGACCACGCAATGAGTTTGCATGATGTGAAAATATTCGCAGCCGGGTGATGACCAGGATCGATGTTTGCGGGAAGAAGAGAAGGCGTCTGAACGGTCTCGGTTGGGATTGTAGTATCAATGAAATGGGGTAGAGAAGGGAGTAACTTGATGTCTTGTGACCAGCACAAGAGAAAACACTGGAAAGAAGAGAGGGCGTCTGAACGGTCTCGGTTGGGATTGTAGTATCAATGAAATGGGATACTAAGGGAAGCGAGTAAGATGCCTTGTACAAGAGAAAAACGGTGGGAAGGGTGTGAGACTGGCTAGAAAGCAGGACTTGGGCCAGGCGTTCCCTTTATACCGTTAAGTTGCCAAATCGGACAACAAAGTGCATTATGCGTCTGTGCTTCTTCCAGGGTTCACGGCGTTAGTATAGCTTAGAAGCTGTGCTGAAACCCCCAAAGGGGAAAACTGGTCGCCTAGGGTCCC